GATAAAAACTCGCATTATGTATATAAATTTTATAAATAGTAAAAAATCCGGTAAATTACTGTAGGCCTCTGTATATATAACCTAAATTTTTTTTTATAAATGTTAAAAAATCAAAAAATATTTATAGTTTATAATATAAATTCTTTGCAATTAAAAGGAAAGAAAATACTTTAAAAAAAAAAAAATTTATTATAAAATATAAGATTAAAATCTTTTTAGATTTAGAAAAATATTTAAACTTTTAGTTTTACTAATTGTAAAAAATTTTTGATATAATTTCATCAATTTTATAAATTTAATATAGTTTTAATTTCACAGATTTTTTAATAAGATTTTAATATAATTTTGCTAAATTTTATTTTTTATTATTGCAAAATTTCTAAGCTTTATCTAACAACTTTAGTTAAATATATTTTTATATTAAAATTATACATTTTATGATAAATACTATATTTTATCAAAAACATAATATATAATTTAATACATAATATATAATTAATTATATAATTAATTATAAGCTTAGAAATTAATTATAAAATAATAATTTATTACAAGCTAATAATTAATTATAAATAAAATTAATTATCAGGTAATTCTGAAGTTGTTTAAGCATTAGAATTAAAGATAGGTTCTTATAGAAGAAGAAAAAGATGTATTAGATTTATTTTTAAAAAAAAAAAACTAACTAATATTTATTTTTTTGTAGGTTTTAAAATTAAAAAGAAATGTAATATTTTGTTAAAAATTAAAAAACGAGTTAATTAATATTTACCTTTTATAGGTTCTAAAATCTTTAAATTTTAGAACCTTTAAATTAAAATAGATCCTATTATAAAAATTTTCTAATTAAAAATTTTTTGAATTTAAAAAAAAATTAATATTAACTTAGATTATTGTAAAAATTAAAAAATTTTTTGAATTTAAAAACTAATATTAATTTATTTTGTTAAACTGTAAATAAAAATTTTTTAAATTTTTTTGAATTTAAAAAAATTAGACTAATTTAGATATTTAATTTAAAATAGATTATATACTAAAATGTATTATTGTTATTCAAAATGAAAATTAATAAAAGTTTAATCACTTAGGTAAAGTCAGATATTTTATTTAATATATATTATTGTTGTAAAAGTTTCTTTAATATTAACAAGTATTCAATTTAAGTAACTAGATTAATTTTTAAATTAAGAATAACTTTATAACATTAATGTATCTCTCAGAATAGTCTTTGTGATGTAATTTATAATAATATTTTAGTAGAACTTGTATATAAACATTATTTTATACTTTTTTTAGATTTGACTTAAATTTTAATAAGTTTATTAAATTTATCTTTATTTAAATTTTAGAAAAACAAATGTAATTAGAAACCTAGATTAGTAGATTCTCAAAATTATAAGTTTTTTATTAATTACAAAATATTTTAAAGATTTTTATTTTTTTTATTTTTATAAATTTTTTTAAACATATTTTTTATATTTATTAAAAATTATTATTTAATTTCTAATAAAATTTGTTATGTATTTTATAATTTCTTATAATTAATTATTACTTTATAATTAATTACTTTTATAATAAATAATTTCTTGTTTGTAATTAATTACTATTCTGTAATTATTTACTATCTTATAATTAATTACATAATTATCATATTTTTTAAAAAATGTATAATTAATTATTAAAATTATGAATTATATATAATTACCATAACATATTTAGTTGAAATATTTATTAATTTATTTGATTTTTCTAATAGTTTTTTCTTTCTATTACAAAGATTTTATATATATAACCATACTTATTATTATATTTAATAATAAATAATTATCATATCAGAATACTTTAAATTATATATTTAAAAAGATCTTAAAAATAAAATTAATAAATTTATTATAATTATTAAATAATATTAATATATAATAAAGCTTTAAATTTATTAATAAATTTAATCAATTTAAAAAATAAAATCTGAAATTTAAATAATAATAAAATAATAAAATAATTTTATTAAATATGATTTTAAAATTAAAATTTATATTAATTCAAAATTTTTTTTTCAAAAAAATATATTGTTTATGATAAAAAAATATATAATATAATTATAAAGAGTTATATTATTTTATGTTATAATAAATTCAAAAAAAAAAAAAATTATTATTAAAAATAAAGAATATGGAACCTTTGCAATAGAAAGGAGGGAAACTGCCAGAAAAAATCAATTTTACTTTTATATGCCAAATATGATTTTTAAGTCAAAATATGTTCAGATTTAACATTAACTCAATTTTTATTTTTTCCAGCTGTTTCCCCCTTTTCTATTGCAAAGGTCTCATATAATATAAAAAATAATTGTAATTAAAGTTAAGTGAAATTTAAAAATTTAATCTTTTTATGATAAATTATATTAAAATCTTAATAAAAATTAGATTAAAAATTTAACTATTTAAAATAGATTTAGACAAATAATTTTAACTATAATATTAATTAAAAAAAAATTAAATTTTATAATTAAAAAAAAAAATATTAATAAATAAAAGTATAAACTTAATAATTATAATTAAAAGGAGCTTAAAAATAGCTTAAAAATAAAAAGTAAAATTTGAAAAAACTTAAAAATTCTATTAAATTTATATAAGCAATTTTTATTCTTAGTTTCAAAAAAAAAAAAAACTATTATAATATAAAGAAAAGTCTTAAAAAATATTAGTATTTATTTTTTAAAGTCAAAGTAATATAAAAAAAGTTGTTTTTATAAGTAATTTTAGGTTAAAGTAAAATAGAAATACAGTATTTTATTATAACCCTAAAATCAAAATTAGTTTATATATTTTAATATTATATATTAAATAATATTGTTCCGAAACTGATTAAAAAAAAAAAGATCATATGGGACCTTTGCAAAGAAAAATGAGTTAATGTAAAAACATATTTTAACCTAAAAATCAAATTTGGCATATAAAAGTAAAAAAGATTTTTCCGGTATTCCCCCTTTCCATTCAAAGATCCCATATGATATCTCTTGTATTTAAAAAATGATTTGTCATATGAAATCTCTTAGACTTCCAAAAAAGGCTGGTCCCATTAACCAGTCCAAGACCGGTCTTATCAAGGACCGATCGATCCTAAATATATCGGGAGAAGACCGATTAATTTTACGCCCCGTATAACTTATAGATCCTACTTTTACTTTTATAGATAATTATTCATCAATACAATTGATTAGAAGGGATAAATTAAATTATGATAGTAAAATGTTGATATCCTTTTTGCTATTTATTAATAATCAAGATATTTATCAAATGACGTATATGTTAATCTAAAATTTTAAACATTTATATTTATTCATATAATATTCATTTTTTTAAAAAAGAATAAGTATTTACTTTTGTCCAACCCCATCTAACTTACGATGGTATTAGTTATTTATATATTAATTTATTATTACATATATTTTTTTTTTCTATAAACAATCAAAACGATGTAAACTATATGATCTAATTACTTAAATCAAAATAATTACATCTTAGAACCTGTTCACTTATTTCATCATCTATTTAACATTTAGATTGAAAGAAAAGTTACAATTCAAATGTTTCGCAATGAACTTTAAATAAACAGGTTTCATCACTTGATTTGATGGCAGCGTTTCGTACTTGTTTCAACATAATACCGGGACCACAAACGCCAACCGCGATATCACCTGAACCATGATATTGTTTTATATCTTGCATAAGGACCGAAAAGTCGGGTCGACCTTGGAAAAAGATTGATGATGGAGTTGTTGTACTACGAGTCAAAAATATTTTGATGTCAAGAAGATATTTGTTTTCTGGTAAATTTTCAGCTCGAGCCATTAATTCACGTAGATCTGATCCAAACCATTGATACGCATCTATAAGAAAAAAAGAGAATAAAAAAATACCGTATTAAAGAATGTGATGGGAATCAAAAGAATGAAAGGAAAAAAAGGAATAGATACATACCAGTATCAGGTATAACCCATATGAAGTATATGGCTTGCGTGACTATTGGCATGCCGCTAACTTGACGATCAACCAGATCACGCAAGATACTAATCATCGGAGTAATACCTATACCACCGCATATTAAAGTTACAGTACGATATTGCATAAAATCGATACTTGGTTTCCCATAAGGTCCATCTATTCTAAAGTTTAATGGAGTTTGTTCGATTCCTCCTTGTGTCTTATCGTAAAGATTTTTTGAGAAACCACCTTGAACTTTCATGTGAACGCTAGCAAAATGAACGCCATCATCCATAACACTAGGGGCCGAAGAAAATGATATGGGATGCCATGCTATCCATGTAACAGGAGGTTTCAAATTTGAAAAATTAATAAACATATATTGTCCAGGTTCATAATAATCTTTGAACTCAAAGATAATTCTAGTGACTCCAGATTGAATGGCTTCCATTCCAATCACGTTGATAGGACCAATTCCAATAAGAAAGCGGGTGAATCGATCGACAACGTAAAGACCCAAACCAACGCCCAAGAACATGATGAACTCTTCTTGATGTAAAGAACCGAATATAACAAAAAAGATAAAACTGAAATGACTCCAGTAAAATAATTCAAAAAGTTTTCTACGTATTACGGAATGAGAGGTGAGAATGATGATAAATATGGAGAGGTAGGCTAAAAATCCCCATCTATTAGTTGGGGTACCAAACAAAGCTTCGGAAACCGAAGTATTATATGATCGTTGAATTTGAAAAGAGGCGTGAAAGGTGAGAAGAAAGAAAATGGTACGTCCAACCCAACGATGGAATCTTATCAATCGTTCAAAAGGGACACCAAACAATTTAAGGAAGACCGAATTCCTAGTGGCCAGAGGGAATACAAAAGCTGCATTTGCCAATGCAAGATAAGCGCATCTTTTGCTCAAAGTTTCATCACCTGAAGCATCAGCCGAGAAAGGTAGCAAAAGGAAAATAACATTGATCACGATATAGAGCACAAACAACAAGATTTCGGCGATTGACATATCACCAACAGTAATCACGCCAACAGTATAATTCATAAATTTATGTAAGTATACTTTCGGTGTGCTATGAATATTGGAGACATCCGGTACAACTGTAACAGCCTCTCGTGGATTATCAATATTCCTTTCTATTCTACCTGTTTTTTCTCTTTTATAAGGTAAATCCGGAACTTCAGGCCATTTTGTACGACTTATATACTTTGATATCTGTCCAGTTTGGTATACTATTGAGAGTAAGATAACTATTCCAAGGTAGGTCATGGATTGGTAATAACCCGCTGCAAAGTCTGCTGATTCCATTTTTTAAGTAAAATAACGGTCGTGGGAGAGAGGAGGAAGTTGATACACTTTTACAATTAATGAGAAGATGTAGAAGCGGATAAATTAATGGTTAGAATACAAGTAATTATTGTAATTTACGAAATGAGGAGGGTAGGGTAGAGACCAGCTCACGGGCAAAATGTAAGTATAAAGCTCGTATAATAAATATTTAGTGTATATACGAGATCACTAGTTTATAACTCAACCAGTGAGATTTCTTAAAGAAAGTGAAAAAATAAGTAAATCGACCGAAATATAAGTAAAAAAAAAAAAAAAACAAAGGTAAGGTTAATAAGGGGAATAAAGGTGTCGAGTTTTAAGTTAGCATCTATATTTGGGTTCTGTAATTTAAAAATCAAATGTTGATGATCGTTAATGTGCGTGTGTAATTTACCGAACGAATCTGTGAAGTTGTTCTTAAATAGGAAAACTAATATAAATTTTATAAATCTGTCAGACATTTTACCTTTTGATGATGCTTGTGTGACGTTTCAAATGGTTTCCCTGAAATGATGTTTATGCGTTTCAAAATTTAAAATTTGTCAAAAAAAAAATATTTACATCAAAAAGATTTTGGAAAATTTCGACGTTCTTCAGGATTTAAATTATTCCAAGGACAATTTATATATTCAATTTTATACTTGTCTAAGCCTTATTAAGCCTTTACTTTGTATTACCGGAAGCTTGTAAATAGTAATTCCAGATTAATTTAAATGAAAAAAGTATGATATGATTTGGTCATATTTTATATTAAATTAGATTGACAAATTTTAAATAACATGTTTGAGGCTTTTTTTTTTCTTTTTTTTACGGGAGTTCTTGCCAAGTTAAGGAAGAGTGTACAAGCGTTTCAAATGATCCTGGGACGCGTTCCAAACTCTTCTTGTTAAGTACATATTATCTTCTAACAAGACTTTTCATTGTCATTTGAACACCTTGATTTTATCCTCATAGCTCGCTCGCATTACGTTATTGCAGTTTTTGGATTAAACTCGAAAAAGAGAATAAAAATAGGGATAATCATTCTTCCTTTTTTTTATTTTTTGATAAAAATAGACAATATGAAATTGCCAAGTTTTAACAAGCATTGGTTATTGAATTCTGTAATCTGAAATTATGGAGGTAATTATCAGTCTTTTCCGAAAAGGGATAAGCCGATGTTAGCTTTGCCACACCCCTGTTCCTAATAAATATTGATCGACCTTGGCAATTTTTTTTTTATTTTCTTTCTCTTTCTCTTTTTTTTTTATATTATTTTTAATCGCCTTGCGTATTTGGTTAAACTACTTTCTGAATATAAATCTTACAAGTTTATAAACTTATCGAATCGCCGGCGATTCCTTTTTTTTATTTTCATTATTTTATTTCAACGAGAAAAAAAAAGAAAAAAAAAAAAAAAAACAAGGAAAAAAATAAAAATGTCTAAAAATACAATAAAACTATTATTGTCCCTTCTCTTGCTCACATCGATACCATTCTACGTATCAGCTTTTCCAACTGGAGCTGGGACTTGTAATGTAGAAGAAATGGCCAATGGAGACCATGGACCTTCCAGCTTAAAGGAACCGACAGGATATAGACTTTCTGCAGATATGCCAACGAAAGGAAATTTTGAATTAACAGCTGTAGGACCCGGAGATGGATTCAAAGGAATTTTGGTTTACGTTTTGAATGCAAAGAATGAGAGAATAGGAGAATTCACAAATTTGCCCGCAACTATGCAATTGAAATCCGATTGTAAAGGATCAACCGTTACTCATAAAACTAAAGATAATAAAAATTTTCCATTTAAATTAAATTGGAAAGCTCCTCAGGGAACAAGCGGTAATTTAACGATTAAATCTTTGATCGTAAAAGATTTCAAAAATTGGGCCAGGTTAGAAGATATTGAGTTTGATCCTGTTACTGGAGCTTCAAGCGTTTCTCCTGACACTAATGAAGTTACGGCTGGACAGCCCTCTAAATCATCTAAACCTTTCGTTGAAAAATACGTGTTATTCATAGTTATGATTGCTATCACCACTCTTTTGTATATTGTAGGAAGCGTTATCGAAGCTTTGTTGAAAAGGCAACAAGTTAAATCTAGATCTTTCGCTAAAACTGTTGGTGGTTTTGGTAATGCAAAATAATGTACAATACGTTTTATTAATTGTTTTGGGGGGAATATATATATATATATATATATATTACATATGTAGTTTATTTTTATCAAAATTCGTAAGAAATTATTATTGTATTGTTATAATATAAAAATTAATATTATTTAATTTTTTTACTCTGTCCTTAATTTCTCAACTTCGACCCTGGGCCCGATTAAAGAAATTAATTTCTGCGCCGGGATTTTCGATTTAAATGTTCTATCTCATAAATATAATTCATCAATAATTGGTCAGCGATTTGACGAAATTTAAATGGTTTTGAAAAGGTAATACAGATGAATAGATTGTTCCTTAATTAACTTAATGTTGCCCACGTGGGTTCCATTCAGACGACCAAATGTAGCCCATCTAAATAAAGTCAACAATAATCGTCCCTTTTTTGATATTCTCGGAAGAAAAAAAAAAAATATAAAAGAACAATAGGATAAAAATACCTTTTTGTAAAAAGTTTCAACTTTCCAATCGTTCAAAAAAGGATAATTTCTTTTTTATTTTGAAACAATTGACATACTTTTTGAATTTTAAAAAATGGATTCCTTTATATTTTAATTATATTGTGGAAATAAAAAATATATATATATGTATATATATTCTTTGTTTTTTAAAACCTCAAATGAACAATATTCCTTATATAGGATTCAAGTTCGTTGTACTTTTTACGCGATTTTCGTTCCAAAATTAGATTAAAATTTGGATTTCTTTTGAATATAAAAGTTCTTGGTTGGGAATTAGTTGAACAAGGCATAGAATCACAAAAGTTATTCAAACCGGCATAATAGGAACTGTCTTTATTAATAATCATGATTACTATTTGCCATACAATTTGGGAAAAGTTGTCAAAAATGATGGCGAATTTAAAGTATCCCTTCTCGAATATAATATGATGCCTTTGCAATAGAAAGGGAGGAAACTCAAAAAAAAATAAAAAATGAGTTAATAATAAATCTGAACAAATTATAGTA